CCCCGTCGTCGCCGTCGACGCCGTCACCGTACGCTCGTCCCCCGTGGTTGTCGTCGCTCCGACCACCCCCCGCGGACGATCGCCACGCGTTTTACTATTCTCCCCGTGCCCGGCGCGCGTGAATGGACGTGCGCGAACGTCGCCAAGTGCGACCAGCAGGGTTTACCCGAAAAGAGCGAGCGCCCCTTCGCAGCGCAGCACGGGATCGCGGATCGGGCACGTCGCGATCGCCGCGCTTCCTCCTCCTTTTGCCTCCACCTCTTTTACCACCTCCGCCTTCCCTCCTCCCTTGTGAGTGCTGTTTACTTTGCACTAACGTTTACCGGCCGTGCCTACGAAAATTCCTCTCCTCGAAGATATCGCCCGTTACTCACGACTTACGCCAGTAGGAAAAGCCGTAACAAGGCCGAATGAAAAGGTATACTCGATATGATAACGCTGCTCGCAGATCGTGGACGTTCGAAACGCCACGACGCACGGTTCTGTGTGTACACACACGCTCGGCTCAACCTGTACCGGAAGTTTCACTACCACACTGTCACCGTCACCATCGTCGCCACCATCACTACCACTACCATGTCAATCCGCTCTCCGATCAGCCAACCGTTTGTCTCCTCCTGTCGTTGCTCCGTCCAGCCCGATCAGCTGATCGCTTTTTGGCCCCCCCGTGCGGTCACTTCTGTCGTTTCGATGTTTGCCCGGTGCTGCTGCTATTGCTGTCGACGACCGTTGTCGCGTTAAAAGAATATTCGTTCGAATCCTAATCTGTCCAATATCGTGTATAATCGTGTTCTCGCGTGAACACCATCTAAATTCATGATTGTTAAAAACGAGCCGGCTTTCGACGAACTTCACTCGTGGCGGAGAATTGAGGAGAATCTGTCACGTTTGTTTCCAGGAATCGGACGTAAACACTGCTACGAGTCATGGAAACTGGCGGTGCATTGCGGCCTTTACACGTACTACTCACGGGTCCACCAGGTTAGGATCGAGGACTAGGGAGGGGGGATTCAAATAAAATACATAAAGCGGTGGTCTCATAAAGAAAATGCTATAATTAAACCTAATTAAAATAAGCACTTGCTAATCAAATAATATTCCGCAAAAAAACTGGGTCACTATAACGTTACAGCCTGCTTTTTTACGGCCGAGTATAGTGTTTTGGACGTGTGTGTGTGTGTGTGTGTGTGTGTGTGTGTGTGTGTGTGTGTAAAATACAGTAAACACACACACATTTTTATTAAAAGGTCGTTCCGTTTTACGCATGATGTATCATTTTATCCTTTGTTTAACATTCAATGAACAAGAATAAAATGCTATAGCATATGTATTAAAATGGAATGCACCTTTTTAAATTTTATAATACAAATATATATATTGTATGTACATTGTATTTTACAAACGCACAACGAATAAGCATACACGCACGTCCGAAATATATTCACCCATAAAAAATAGATCCCTATAACATTACAATGGCCAGTTTTTTTTTACAGGCGAGTATATTTTGAGAAAAGCAATTTCATAAATTTTTTACATAAAATTTAAAAAAAATTAATTCATATGTATAACAAATAATTTTTCAAATTATATATTTATTTTACATTCTTAGTATATTATTATTAATATATTTTACATTATTAATTAAGATACAAGTTATTCTCTATTATTGCTAATACTCAAGTACCCAATTATCTTGAATATTACTCGAATATTAGCAAAGTTCTATGTTTAGAAAATAATATTAAGTTAAATAATATAATGTATTTGATATATTTCCACTTTTCGTACACAAATAAGTTAATAAATAATATTCTTTTACATAGAATACTAAATATTGTTGATGTTATTTCAAGTAATTTTTATAATAAATAAAAATGCAAATGCACATAATACAAATAATTTTTCAGAAAGGAAAAATAAGACAGTTAATATTCTTTGTATTAATATTATAGCTAGAGAAACGAATTATTGAATATTTTATAGGGATAGGTAAAACTACAGTGTGCAAAAAAATCACATTCGCGCTGGAAAAAAAGGGCAATAGGTTTGATGGATTTTACACAGAGGAAGTGCGAAATCAGAATGGCTCCAGGATTGGCTTCGACATTGTGCGAGTAAAAAATCCTGGAAACAGATTATCCTTAGCACGATTGTGCGTATTCATTCATAACAATGATAAAAATAACAATAAAGTAACTGAACACATATTGTATTTAACATTTCTTTACTGACAGAATCTCAACAGATGGTCCAAATAAAAGCTCTCCCAGGTATCAAGTGGGAAACTACCGTGTTTTTCGGAATAATTTCGAGGCTATAGCGCTTCCAATATTGGATTTGGATACTGTAAGAAAAATGATCTGCCCGAAAATAAATTTTTAATTACTTCAACATACTTTGATAACATCAATTGTATCGTTATTGCAGGATGTATTGCTTATCGATGAAATCGGCAAAATGGAATTATTTAGTGAAGATTTCAAGAAGAAAATAATGAACATATTTTTCGGTTCTCCTAAGAAAGCTTTTGTAATTGGGACTATTCCGCAAATACACAAAGCACCGCAACGACACGCGGCACTGTTCGAGAAGTTACACGCAGATGAAAGAATTAAAATTTTGAAAGTAACACATGAAAATCGGAATGATTTACCAGAGGAGATTATACGTTATTTCTCATAAATTTATGTCAATTAACGCACTCGTTATTTATTAGTCATCGCGTAAAATAAAATATCAATTTATGTATGTACATCATAAACATCATTTATTATTAACAAAAAACAAAATGTTGGATCAAAGAAGTCCTTCCAATCACAATATATTTGTAAAAAAATTGTCACAAATAACGTGACAAATAGTGATTGGTTCGAACATTGTACTACATAATTATTCTAGTTTTTTTGCATACGCATTTATGTATACTCTTGTAATAATTACTATATTTCATTGAAACTCCACCGTTGGTCGCTAAAGAATCGATTAAAAGTTTAAGATCCAGCGCTTCATATAAATAATACATTATAAAGTTAAAATATGCTCCATGGAAATATTTTCGAGATCAAAATTTTTTGTTCTTTTTATATTTACGCGCACATAGATATCTTTAACGAACAAGGTGGTCATAGATTGAGGGTACAAAATAGAAACGTTCTCTTCGCGCCATTTTATTACAAACGAACACAAATCGCCAGTGTTTGATGAGCCGTGTTTTCTTATCATAGATAAGAAGTCTGATAGATTTGTTTGCTTGTTGTAAAAATAAGCAAACCTTTCTCGCTTTTGTACCCATCAATATTATGCATTCTCATCGCATATATTTTATAATACAAGAAATTCGATCGCGATCTCCTAGAAAGAATATAATAATTATTGTTGCGGAGAAGCCTAAAGTGTCTCTTACCTTCCTCATTTCAGTATCAAATATATTACGCACACTTTGATTGGACTACTTATATTTCAGTAAATATTATTCATTTTTCAATAATACCTAGATGTTCCACTAGCACATGAACTTTAGTAAAGAATTGGCATAAGCCATCGGCCTTACGTTTGGATGAGGCTGTAATGAAATAAAAATGGTACATAAATATAAAATATAAAAGCAAGTAATTAGCATAAATTAAAATAACTTAATTTGTGAATAAGGTACATACCATTGCATCGTACGACGTAAAATAAGGTTTCATGTCACTACCGTTAAGTGTGATAAAGGCACCTCGGTTACCCATAGTATCACTGAGATTTAATAAAACATATTAAAGTTTATGCATTTATAAACTCATATTAATCCTCAACTACAGCTATGAAAACTACATTTAAAACGTTCTGTTTGAAGTACAGATGCAAGTAAACTTTTGCCTTACAGTAATTGATAGAGGAAGATTTAAAGTTTTTTTTTTACCTACAATTTAGAACTTTATAATACCAATCGTACATATTGTACAATCGTTCAAAAATTTTTGCTTCGGGTCTAAATGATCCGTTGCCATAGTCGAGGATTAAATACATAAAATTACATTATAGACACAGATGTAACGTGTTAGTATGTAATTGTTGTATATGATGAACGTACCAGTAATTTGGAGCAGAGAATACTGTGATACACTTTCCGTCATGTCCCACTTCATATCCATCGTTTTTAACCTCGTGACTCCTCACGATGTAGTCAAGAGAATTTATACTGAGGAAATTCTGAGTGACGTCAGGTCCGAATTGAACACCTACACCTCTCTTACTGGGCGCCCGGCCGATTTGCGGTTGTGGATCCGACCACAACAGTTCACACATCAATCCCTCGTCAGGTGGTTGTCTGTTTCTGTCGATTTCTCTAATTTCTTGTAACGTCACATCATCCCGTGAAAACAATCCACCGTGCATCACCTGGTATAAAATAAATCATTGTAATTGTATGAACATTACATGCAATATACGTGACGAATGGCTCCATGTGAAAACAGTTGACTACGAGTAACTACGAGTTAGCGAATATTCCAGGTTCAAATCTAATCATCATCTCATATATCTTGGTTTCGAAATTTTATTATTAATTTATAATTGCTCAGAGAATTGAAGGTTGTGAGTAAACATAAATATATGTTGTATATACTGTATAGTATATACACAATATAAATATATATGCATACAGTATACAGGGTGTACCTGAAATAGCGTACACTAATCATACAGTGTTATTCCTAATAAAAAATTGAGTCGAAAAGTCCTCTACCATTTTGCAATTTTCGCAATAGTTAACAAGATATTAATTACTAAAAATCGCTGTGAATATTGGTTTTCAATAATTTTTTACTCAAATACTATATCAACTTTACAGAAAAACTGCAATAGATAAAAATCATTTCTTTTCTTCTCATAAAACTCTAAGAATTTTTTCAGAATTTTTTATCAACTTTTTAGTATTATATTTTCTTATTTTTACCAACATGAGAAAATATGGTATTAAAAAATTCTGAAAAAATTCTCATAACTTTATGAGAAGAAAATAAACAATTTTTATCTCTAGCAGTTTTTGTGTAAAGTTGATAGTATTTGAGTAAAAAATTATTGAAAACCAATATTCAACGATTTTTTTGTAATTAATATCTTGTTAACTATTGCGAAAATTACAAAAGGACTTTTCAACTCAGTTTTTTATTAGGAATAACACTGTATTATTGGTGTACGTTATTTTAGATACACCCTGTATACAGTATAAATATGTATGACAACTTTGAAAAATACTTACAAGCACTCTACGGTTGAGGCAGTGTGCAAGAGGGAGCCAGTTATAAACCTCTGTAAACAATTCTGCCATCTGGACAGAATATTTAGCTTTAACTTCTCCATCAAATCCATACATTTGGTTCATTGTTGCTGATTCATGGTTACCTAAAGATACAAAATATTTCATGAACATGTAAATTCAAATTGCATAATGTCTGACGAAAGACTACGTACCTCTTGACATAAAAAAGTAATTTGGATATAATAATTTAAAACCAAATAAAGTAAATATGCATTCTACGGAGAATGAACCTCTGTCTACAAAATCTCCATTGAATAACTGCATATGCAACTATTAAGAAAAATATATTTTTGGATAATTTTCGATATTTGTATAATATCAATGTATAAATTATATTAGCATGTTTATAAGTTATTAATAAATTATTATTAGATTATTAATAGATTTACTAATAATGAATTAATTATATGAATTTCTCTCACACTTATATAACACATTATATTATTTAGTTTTATAAAGGATACATATGGATTAGTTTCTGATGGTAATCCGTTCAATTTAAATATATTAAGCAAGTCGTAATATTGACCATGTATATCCCCACAAATGGTGAATTTATTTTCTTCTGGAATTGTAATGTCCACTAAACTAGGTTGTGCCATAAACCACGATTTAACGTCCAACAGGATTTTGTAAGCGTATTTACGGTGCAACTTATTTTGATTTTTATACCATTCTAATAAATCTTTCATGAATTCCAGAGTAACTTTCCCGTCAACCAATTTTGGACCTGTATATTCACCTTCGATCGCTATAAAAATATAATTAATTCAAGCATATGAGTTCTCTTATTAATTATTAATGTTCAGCCACAATGTGTGCATTAAAAAATATTACATAAATATATTATACAAACATATTATATAAACAATTAATATTTATATTTTAATCACATAATATTTTGTCTTGTTTTTATAAAAATTATATAAATAGCCTAAAAATATTACTACAGTGAAAGCTTCAAGACTCCTGTTCACTTATTACCACCATTTGTAAATTATGTTAGAAAAAACAATCAAAATTTTTGCAAAATATATTTGAAATATTTTTAAATAAAACATTGGTAAAATATATCGAAAATGATCTGGTTTCAGAAAGAAATTAAATCATATTTATTTATCATATTAACATATTATTCAACAGTTCGTCCAATTTGTCATAGCTATGAATATAACTCATTTCATCTTTCACTATATACTTATACTATATGCTCTTTCACTATATAATTTATTTCCAAATATATGATTATTAATCAACAAAATAAAAAGAAAGTTCTTGGTATATTCGAGATTGCAAGGTACATGTCATAGTTAACATCAATAAATAAATCATAATTAATACAAAATATTTCATGATTAGATAAGATATATAAATATATCATGAGTTAACAAGTAGAATTCTTACTGAGAAATCATATTTATGATAAAAATATGATATAATAATTTATGTTTTGTAACAATAATTTTCAATCATTTTTAGAAATAGAAAAAATGAATAAAAAATACTCACCCATATCTTCTAAATTAATCATGTCAGCTATATTCTTTTTATCCTCGACAGAGATGGCCTTGTTAAAAGCTAATACTTTAATCATCTTGCAACATTCCATATATCTGTCTTTTGCATCTTTATCATTGGGCCTAGCTTTTACAACAGTCTTGTAATCCGTGAGAGCCAGTTTGAACTTGCCGAGGGACATATAAGCGGCAGCTCTCCGATAATATCCTTTGACATAATTTTTATCTAACATGATGGCTGTAGAAGCATCTGTCAATGCATATCCAAAGTATTCTGTCCTTAAGTAGGCAATACTCCTATTGCCGAAATATATGGCTACTGATGGATTTAATTCTATAGCTTTGGTATATAATTCAATAGCTTTGTCGTATACTTGATCTGAAAAGAAAAAGGTGCAATAGTAAATAAACAAGGAAGTAACAATTGCATCATTGTTTTCTCGCTCCTTTGGCATAATACTCTGGTATTGTTAGCACAATTACATAGCGTCGCTAACTTTTTCCAAAATCACAGAAAGCATAGGGGAGAACCTCCCCCAAGTTCCCGGAAGTTCCCGCGTCGAGGAAACATTGAAAAGCGTCAAGATGAAATCAACGCCTTCGGCGTGAAAAATTCTTTTCTCGACGCTTTCCTTCGCTCCAATTTGACGCGGTTTCACTCACACAGTCCCCGTAATCTCCCGCAGACGCGGAAGTTGGGGTTAGCTTGGGGCACACGTGATCGTGCGGGACGACGAAGTGCGTTGAATCGGAGTGCATCCAAGTGCATCTGGTCTACAATTGTCGCGCTTTCCACGTGCGTGTGGCTTACGTACTCTTGAAATACTCGTTCGCATCCTCCTTGTACAATTCCGCCTTGGCCGCATCCTCCGATGTTGCCGGCGACACCGACGCGACGTCCCCTTTGCCATTGTCGCCCATCCTCGGCTCCGTGCGTTCGTGCGTGCGTGCGTGCTTACTTGCGTACGGGTGGCCCGAACCTTGTTTGATGCGACCCAACGGCGGCAAACCGACGGGAAATCGAAGTCACTCAGAGCCACGCGGTCGCAACGTGCGTAACGAGAGATCGCGCATCGAGGTGCAGTCGATCGCGCGTTCCTCTCTCTCTCTCTCTCTCTCTGAAAGCTGGAACGAGCCTGCGCCTCCCGTATCATACGACCGTACCGCCACGGTAAACGCGTGAAGTATGCTCCAAGCGGTATCCATCGTTGATCGCCGCTGATCGCCGCTGCTTTCCGACCGATGTCTCGATTAATCGAATTCGCTTCGCTATCGATCCTTGTGCGCGCGACTAATTTCACCATATAAACAACGATCTTCGGCGATTTTGTTAACGTTTATTTATATTTCTTTCGTATATTCACATTTTTTATCTATTTTATTATTATCATTCTTGTATGTACGAAATGAATTATTAATTATTATTAGCAACAGAAGGATTTAAATGGTGTCATAATATAGAGCAGATACGAGCGGATATAAACGGATATATTTCAAGTGATTTTTCAATAAGGAATGTGTGCAGATTCTCAATTCTCATGCTCAAGGTATAATAGAGACAAAGTGGTGAAGGTTCTTTTATTATTTCATTTTTGGCCGCATGAGTAATATAAGTATACTTCATAACCCCATTCAGATTAACTTAAGAATAGTTTTGATTAAATTAACTTAATCGATGATTATTAAAGTAATCTCTGTACTGTTTTGTTGACACCCTGGCGAAAATTTTTTTCAGAATTTTTCGTATAATTTTTCAGACTTTCTATAAAATTTTTCAGAATTTCTATATAATTTTATAATTTTCTCACATTTTTTATACAAATTGGAACACTTTTCAGAAAATTTACATCTTTTTTCAAAATTTTTCATATATGTTAATTATGAAATATCGTAAGATTTCTAAGATTTTTGCAAGTATAACTTCTGATAAAATCTAAAAAATTAAAAATATTTTTTTTAAATTATGGGGGATGAGAAATTTCAGAATATTTCAGAATTCACTTGTATGAAAAATTATGAGAGAAAATGTAAACTTTCTGAATATTTCTGAGTATTTCTGAAAAATGTTCCAATTTGTATAAATATTATAAGAAAAATTTTCACCAGGGACATGTTTTGTTAGTCAAAGCTAGAAACACCAAGGCATGAATAAAATAATTAATTTTTTAATAGAATTTTTTAATAGAAAAAAAAGATTTGATCAGGGACAACGAAAATACGTCGTTAGAAATTTATTTTGAACAATTCTGTCAGTTGATTAATTTAATCAGCAATCAATTTGACAAATGATATTTATAGTATTGTGGTAACATAAATGAAATTATTATTTATTGTTTGATTCGTGAAAAGAAAGACCAATTATATACAGGTAGAAATTTTATAATACTATAAATATCTATGACTAAATACATTATTATAACTTGTCTATATATTTTTTATATTTATATAGTTATAATCTATATAGTTATAATCTATATATTATATCTATATAGTTATAATCTATATATATTAAAATATATTAAAATATTTTTAAATATACATATTAAAATATCAAAATTTATGATTGCATTTTCTTGATCTTCAATTATGTTGATTCCATTTTCATGACCTCTAACACTTTATTGTACACAAGTTGGGGTGCGTCTATGGCCCATAAGAAATCCAAGTGATTGAACTTAGGATATGGCACTTTGTATTCGTCCACTACATTGGGTAAAAGACAGATGAGGCTCTTTACATCCTTAAAGAAACAATTTCATAAGCAATCTCTTTTTCTTTTATATATCTTCCTTGATATAAAGCTTTATTTATACAAACAGTTAAGGAAATTAATCTTTAATATGTATCTTTTCGATCTAAATGTGTTTATCAGTTACCTACCGGAATGCCAGATAGCCAGTCATTTTCGGCATAGAATATTGCAATGGGGGTGGTGATGCTTGCAAGATTATAATCCGGTGGTTCAGGTGTGTTATAAATTTGTAGATTTTTCGCGCGACCGTAATCGTATTGGCAAAACTTGCCGGAATTATGTTCCTGAGCAAAGTGTACTACCGTTTTGGTCGAAGTACCAGCTGGATAGGTACTCAAAATCGAAGACATCATGTTCTAAAAAACAAACATGAAATCTAATTTCAAACTGCGATCGTGCGAGCGGAATGATAGTAATTGAAAACACCAATTAGAAATAGAAATATTTTCATCGCGATATTCGAGGAATGCTCACAAGATCGAACTGCTCTCTGTCAAAACCTAGGATCAGAAACAGCAAATTGGTACAAATCTTGTCCTGAACAAATGTTATGTCGCAGACGAGCTTGCTCATGAACTGTATTACAGAGCTGTGTGGCAGAAATTCGTCTTCGCCAAGAAGATATAAGAGCCCCTGCAATTGAAATTCTTTTATCCACAATATAATTTGCTTGTAATTCGATCTTACGATGAATATTTGAGAATATATTTGAAGCATTCTTTGAAACATGATTTTTGCATAGAAATTCTGAATTATTCTCCTTAATTTTAATTGCAATTTTAATTTCAAAGAATATTTACTTGAAACTAAATTCAAATTCTTAGTATTATATATCTTCGGAACTTCAGAATCATAAATTAAAATTCTGTTAAAGTAATTGCGCTTAGATTTCGAAAACTGAAAAATAATTGTGTTATCTGTTTGGCTAATATTTCAATCGTTTATAATACTAATGCTACAACATTTCTGTTAAAGAAAACAAACTTCAAAATTTTTTAAAATCGATTAATGAAAAAATAATACTTGAAAAAAGAGGAGAAACCATCTTAGGATATCCTACAGTCTCAAATCGTAAGATAGAAAAGATAAAAGTAGCTTCTTATATATTGGATGTTGTTTTAAATCATTATTTTGCCATAAAAAATTATTTCTAAGAATATTTTCGTATAACTACCTCAATATTTCCCGCGAAAGGAGTGAGAAACCGTATAGGACTTCTTATATGAGTCATAAATGCTGCAGGCGCGAGGCTGATTATCAATCGCACCATTCGAGCGATTTCCGGACGTTCTGCTGCCATCACGTAAGAAGCAGTTGTGCCCATTGAATGACCGATGTATGTGTGCAATGATTGCGATGTTATATTTGTAATATGTAAGATCATCGCGGGTAAATCATAAACGCCCATTTCGTGAAAGCTAAAAAAAAATTGATATACAATGAGTGCAAAAAGTATTCGTACAAGGAAATTTTTTATAAAAAAAAGTCTTATTTGTAGAAAATAAACATTAATTAGCAATTTTATATAATGAATACATTCTGTTCTAACATAAACAAACGAGCTTCGTATATATTCCTGATTTTAAAAGCTAAATTCCTCGACTGTATGAATACTTTTTGAGCATCTAAACGATAGAATTTTTAATTTTCGCTTATTTTTCAGATGATATATTTTCTATAATTAATATACATCTTTTTGGTATATATAATTTTAAGAAACATGTAGTCTATTTTATTTTTTATGAATAAATTGTTAATTACCCAGCAAGAAATGATCGTCAATTAAACGTCAAATTGACGTAAAATTGGTGTTGAAATCATCGTATCGATATCGATTCGACATTAATTCGATGATTCTTTTCTCGCTGGATAATATTTACTTTTTAAAAATAAAGTTTTTTTGACAAATATTTTTTCTGTACGAATACTTCTTACACTCATTGTATGTGTATCATTACGGAATCTAACAAAATATACTATTACATAGTATTATAGTATAGAACTGATTAATCAATTTTTTACTGTATATAAATCAAGTTATATATTATTATAACTGTTATATTTAACGTACTTATTTTTAATTTATTAACGTAAATACCTAAAGTCCCAAAATTTTGAATCCGATGGAGATAAAGAAACATGTGCCCTTGAGTAAGTATTCCCACGAAAATTGCCCATCCAAACGTCATATCCATGATTTGCCAATATGAAAGCTAGCAAGAAGAAAAAAACATTGTTTCCAACAGATTCCGTAATTACTTAAGGAGGGAATCCTATTATTTTAGCTAAAAACATGACAAAATTTGGGAATTTTTTTTTACGAAACTAGCAATTCAATTCATGTAAAATTTATACCATGTTTTAGTTCATGTTTCAACAACTTACAGTTTTTTTTTTATTAAATTTTAATGATAAATGTAAAAGTTATTAATAATCGAATATCACGTCGCGCAAAAATTCGTCGTCCACTGGTGTGCACCATATTAATCTTCTAGATAATCTGAAACAGAAAAATCAAACGGCGTTTTACTTTATACATATGTAGCTTCAGTTTGATGAACTAAAATTAAAAAAAAATTATTACGGAAATGGTGAGCTTTCAAATCAGCACTATGATAAATTACCCGCAAGACCCTCGCGGCCCGAGGGACCCGCAAAACCCTCGCGGCGCGATGATAAATCATAGTACTGATTTGAAAACTCATTTCCGCAATAATTTTTTTTTAATTTTAGTTCATCAAACTGAAGCTACATATGTATAAAGTAAAACGCCGTTTGATTTTTCTGTTTCAGAGATTAATATGGTGCACACCAGTGGACGACGAATTTTTGCGCGACGTGATATTCGATTATTAATAACTTTTACATTTATCATTAAAATTTAATAAAAAAAAAACTGTAAGTTGTTGAAACATGAACAAAATTATTGTCGAGTGAGTTAAGTAAAAAAATCCTAATTATTATAGAATATGTATATTTCGTTAATTCTTTTTAATGAGATGTGAAAATCAAGTTTGAAGAGAATACCCAAGCAGAACAACAAGTCATTATGATATCAAAATGATGTCAAAATGACTCTAAAATGATCATTAAAAATCATTTTTCAATCATTTCTGATTCATTTTAATGTCATTTTAATGTCATTATCGTGACTTGTTCTGCTTGGATATGTCATTTCATTGTATGTGATATATCAGTTATACTATATGTTTCATGTATATAACAATTATAATATTATTATATTAATATTAGGAGCTATTTTTTTCATTATAATATTATTATATTAACATTAGGAGCTATTTTTTCATATAAACTTAATAATTTTTCTTGATGTTTTTCAGATTAAAACATAGTCAACGATCCCGCAGTGAGAGAAACATTTTTAGAGATTAATTAATGTCATACCAAGTCCTTTATCCTTTCCGGAAATAAGAAAATCGGTGGAACTGCATAAAAGACCATGTTGCAGCAGCACGGATGGACCGTTTTTATTTGGGATACGATAAAGTGTTAAGAGATAACCATCCTCTGTCTGTATCGCGTGAGCCTCCGCGGGAAAGCCCGCTTTTCTTATCCTCTGTAACTGAAAACAGTAAAAGCACATAAAATTATATTTATTATATAAATTTGAATTAATTTTCGCTTCATTAACATTATTATTTGTGTATATCATTAGTAACATGTTATTCCTGTCAGTCCTGACCGGAAGGAAGATTAGTAATGATATACACAAATAATCTTAATCAATCGAAAATTGATTCAAATTTGTATAATAAGAATTCATTCATACATCTTTTTTCTAAATAGCAGAGAGATTTGAGCATTTTTATTTTATTTTGTATAAAACTTATATATATTCAATATAAAAAGTAACTATTAAGATTTATAATAAAGCCATATCCCCAATATTATTTATGTAATCATAAAAGCTATTGCTGAATAGGGAAATATTCTGCAAAATTTAAAGTGTGATAAATAATTTATAATTTAATTGATTTTAATGATTTTACAGTTAAATATTTATTTTAAAAAAAGATAAAGCAAATACTGTTATAAAGTGACTAATTTATTTTAAATCTTATTGTATTAGATACTAAACTTAGTTTCCGCGGTTTTTTTTTGCTAAACTTTTTTTGTTAAAAAACTCATTTATCTCGATATCAAAAGCAAAAAATACATCAATTAAAGTATTTGCCGTCGCTAGCTATACATTTTTCCCATCTTTGTGGCAATAAGTGGATTCCGCTACGAGAGAACGATTGGTCTTTTGAAGCAATCCATTCATCGATCCATTTTCGCACATCCTCGTAATTTCTGAAGTGTGTATAAAGCATTATTTACGTCATTATATATAGGTACTATATAATGACATGTAATGATATAATATTAAATGCTATCATATATTAATTATTTTATGCTATTCACGACGTCATATATCGCCAATTTAACGTTCTTTTTTTCATGTATTTTACATTACTCAGTAAATATTTTTTAATATATAATATTTATCATAACATGCTACTGAAACATGTAGTGCTCTTATCATAATGGAAAACAAACAGAAGAAAAAAGTTACTGTTATTTCTAAGAAAATTATAATGGTAGTATATTATGCAATGTTCTATGTATATCTGATGATATAACTGGAAAGATATAATATACTGATAATATAACGGTAATTCTATACGAAGAAATAAGTCGGAAACGCGTAAATTTTTTCGTATAAGACTTTTCGTTCAGGAAAATCGACTTTAAATTAGCCATGCTGCATCGATCGGAACAAGTAATAGTCGGAAGAAGCTAAGTGTGATGAATACGCTGGGTGCGGGAGAATTTCCCACTCGAGCTGTAGCTCAGTGTTTCCTTGACGGCTTTTGCAACGTGTGGTCGAGCGTTGTCGTGCGATTTGCAATGACATTTTCGATTAATTCGTGTGGTATCCATTTTTCTTCCTTTTGAATCTTTCCCATTGCACGCAGACGTTAGGAAGCAGCCATCGGAGTAACATTTAATGTTGCAGACAATTCTTGGAGCGTTTGAGCTGAGTTTTCGTCTAATAATGCTTGCAATGTCTTCAGTGTCTTCAAACTTTTTCGGTTGACCTGAGCCGTGAGCGTTGTTTATCATTCACATCATAATCACCACTCTTAAATCGTTGAATTCTTGGCATGTTCTTTCCGATGGAGCACAATTGTCATAAGCTTCGACAAGCAATTTATGAGCTGCAGCTGCAGTTTTTTTCAAATCAAAGTAATGAAGCAGCACATGTCGAAAAAACAACTTATCACGTTCCATGTTTAATGACAAAAAAAATGGCACTGTTCGCTTAAATGAATCTTTTCGCACTGAATCTTATTGACAAATGTCTAACCTCTAAAATGCAGCCAGTTTCAGATATCAAAGTAAATTTCATCTACAACTAGCGTCGTAAATGTGAGCCGCGGGGAAACTAAGTTTAGTTACCTAATATATTTCAAACAAAAAAAATATTCTCTTGTTTCAATGCGATGTACTTTTGAACAAAGTTAACAATGAATAATTTAATCGATCTTGAAACAAAAAAAACGGTACAATTTTAAGCGACAATTAAAATCATTATTTTTATCAAAATGTAAGGGAGCTCAAATTTTAATTGCGAACAGGAACGTACCAATTGGCATAAGATCGTTTTCTGTATATTACAATAACGAATATCTAAGTATTTAAGAGTATAAAAATAGTAAAGATTTCAATCTTTTTTTCTAGATGCGTACACTTACTATATCGAGATTGTCTTGAGAAAAAATATACGTGCTGTTTGACTGTTCCTTGTTGATACCCATCACATTTTTAATGATGCTCTGTGGGATGTCGAGTATTCCAGCCGCTGCAGAGTCGGGAAAGCCACAAAAGGATAAAAGATACACGATCACGATCAACTGCATCGTAAACGAATGATGCAGTATCAATGAACAAAAATAGACGCTACAGGTCTTTTAATATCAAAGTATAGTACTGATAAGAGAAGAAAACAAAGAGGAGGAATAGCAAGAGGAGGAATAGACTAGTTAATCTCTTCTTTAATCTTCTCTTTATGAAATACTAAGTTGCAATTGGATGAATCATTCCGTCAACGGAATAGATTATTTTCTATTAGATAGAAAAAGAAGTTATTACGTTGTTAATTACGTTATTAATCACGTGATAAAATTTAAAAAAATACATACATGATCTCATACAAATATAACATGATACTCATGTTGCGACATATTACTATTATTATATCGACAGATTGCACTGTCCAACACTATTTTGCAACACGAGTGTGAAGAGTCATTTCTGATATGTTATTATTTTGAAAAAATATGAAAAAAATTAAAAACGACAACTTTGAGAGTTTGCATAATATTGTAAACCGGTAGCACATTTTTTTTCTACATTTCATTAATGCCAAGAGAAAGTATCAATGTTCAGCTTTAAAATGCATTTTATTTTCTTTTTTATATGATTTAATGATTCAAGATTATAATCTTCCTGCATTATATTGTATTTTCAATTTTATATTGTTTTTTTATTGATTCAATTATATTATGTAAGTATGTTAGCACTTACTTTTCACATAATGCAATATTAAAATGGAACAAATATCTTTTTCATGTATTTACAGGAAAAGAACTATTTAAAATTGCTATATCTCGAAAACGAAAAATCATATCAAAACTAAATGAAATGCATTTAAAAACTTAAAGTTGACACTTATTATTAACGAGTTTCGTTTCTTCATTATTAAGTTTCGAAAAAAAATTACTGCCGGTGTTACAACGTCATGAAAACCTTCAAAATTATCATTTTTTGCCTTTTTGAGGTTATTTTTCTCAAAATTATAATAACCAATTTGGACAACGGATTCATGTTTTAACAAGCAAAAATACATTGGAAATAACTATTTTGATTCGTAATGTAAAAAAAGTCAAGTTTTGTCGAATAGTGTTACTAGAGCACTAGAATTATGATACAAGACAATCCAAAGGTACACAATAATGTGTACACTCTGAACCCCCTGAACGCACGTTATACAAGCACTATAATAAGAAATAATCAAAGATGTGCAATAGCGTAAGCGTAAACGCTACAGGCAATTAAGCATGTGAAATATAGAGGAATATAGGACGCGCGTTTACGCTATCATATACATAAAATTTTTTAGAAAATGTGTATATATATATGTGTGTGTATGCACACACACACACGCGCGCGCGCGCGCGCACAGAGGGTATTCCGTAACTGTGTATGTGTGGGTACAACTAGAAAAGAGATGATTATATATGAAAAAATAAGTTAAAAACGTAAAATGAAATTTTAAAGTCGATTTTCCTGAATGAAAAGTCTTATACGAAAAAATTTACGCGTTTCCGACTTATTTCTTCGTATAGAATTACCGTCTTTCCAGTTACATCATCAGATATACATAGAACATTGCATAATATACTACCATTATAATTTTCTTAGAAATAACAGTAACTTTTTTCTTCTGTTTGTTTTCCATTATGATAAGAGCACTACATGTTTCAGTAGCATGTTATGATAAATATTATATATTAAAAAATATTTACTGAGTAATGTAAAATACATGAAAAAAAGAACGTTAAATTGGCGATATATGACGTCGTGAATAGCATAAAATAATTAATGTATGATAGCGTTTAATATTATATCGTTACATATCATTATATAGTACCTATATATAATGACATAAATAATGCTTTATACGATCGTTAATAAGATCAATTTTAATTATTCAAAAGTGTTTGTTGGTTTACTTTTGTTCTAAAAATTATAGAATGGACAAATGTGCGTGCGTGCGTGCGTGCGTGTGTACGCGTGCGTGTGTACGCGTGCGTGTGCTTTATTGTTGCTTAAAGTTTCAAATATAAATATTGCTTAACAAACTGTACCCTTCACATTTTAGACACATATCTATGCCATCCATATTACTGCCTTTATATATCAAACATTTCAAGATAATTACATATTAATTCTAACAATATTTTTTATTATAATTTTATGAAAAAAAATTCCAACTTAATTAAAAAAAAGAAGACCTGAATCTTTTTCTTTATAAATATGTAATTTATGATAAAATTTGTTGTCATATATCAATAGATCAAAATAGCTACTATTGATACTAATTCTTCTTACAAATCATTTGCTAGTTATTTCATGCGAAATAGACATTTTATTTTATTATAAATTTGATAAAAAATTTGCCAAATTGTTATTGAACGCAGCATCATTTAAAGATTTTTTCGCATTTATATTTTGAAAAATTGTTGCAAGTCATTAAATTTTATAAAGAATTTGAATACGAGATTGAAGATATAATAATAATAATAATAATAATAAAGGATTAACGGTTTTGAGAAAAATTGATATTATTAAAATTATCAATATTAATTAGTATTATAAGTTATAGATTATTGTAGAATGTTGTAGGTAATGATAAGTGAATGCATTTTTCTTATATATATTATTTTAAATACAAAACATCTTTTATTATTTAATCATTAATAATATAAAGTCATTCAAGCTTATATAGTGTGGAAATATACAATCTGCATAATTTTTTTTAAATCCTGCAATAATTTATAAACAAAGTTTATGAATCTTTTGTGACAAACTTTTAACTTTATTCGATTTAATTAAATATAAAAAATTTTATATATTGTCTTATTACTTTAGCAAGAAATTCATTTTTACAACAATTTATATTTATTGTTTGAAGTTATTAATTTTATTTAATAAAAATATCTTTAATAAATATGTAAATGGATAGTGTGTATTCATAGTCAAATTCTAATTTTTTTGTTAGAATAGATAATATTCATTAGAGCTATCGAGATAATTCCTATCGAACTGATTCGTTTAATTGAATGAATCTAGTTACAACTAAACTTGACAACGGAGTTGTTGTTAATTTGAGCATCGTTCTTGTTCGGTTATTTATTCTTGCTTTACGTCGGTCTTTTGAATAAGAGCGATGCGATCTCGTTGCTTTCTATTAATTAAGTGATAAATCTTGTAAGGCCTTACAAGTACTCCGAATACTTTTACTGTGAGATTACAAACTACAGCATATAAGAAAAAGAACTAACACAACTAAGACTAAGATGTGCGTGTATTCGTGGTATAGAAATTAAGGCCTCTAAAAATAAGTTTTACATTCTTACAATCAAATTTGTCAAGGTAAACTATATATTTGTTATTTCTAAAACACAACGTTAAACAGACGTTATTATTATTATTATGTTCTCTATGTTGTCTTTAAATAATAATAAATATTCTTGAATTGAACATTACGTGTGAATATCTCATTCTATATAGCTCTGAATATTTTCAATGATAAAATCTTACATATTCAGGCTCAATTAAATGTAATTTGACAAGATTGCAATTTGAGTTGTTCAACATTTTTATACATTTTTACTTGTAATAAAATTCATCCAGTTTCATGTCAAAATAACGATCAAAGTGCCAAAATAGTACCATTCTAATATACTTACACAAACTATTATAAAATAGTATAAGCTGAATTATTTTTAATTTATGATCACAATAACACTGAAAAGATTTGGTGTCATCTCTTATCTTTATTACCGTTATGGCACATTCATCTTCTTCATAATCTTTAACAGTTTCAAATCTTCTTCATAATCTCAAGCAGTCTCTTGTACACGAGCTCAGGCGCGTCCTTGCCCCAGATGAAATCCAGGTGATTGAATTTAGGAAACGGTACTCTGTACATATCTAATTTGTTGGGTAACAGGTGGTAAAGTTTCTTCACATCCTTGAAAAAAAAATCATAAATTATCATGTGTGTGCATTATTTTATACTTCTTACTCAACTCTATGTGTCTTTATACGCAATGTTTTCATTTAGACTCTAGACACATGTTTCTTTATCTCAGTCGAATTCAAAATTAAAAAATTTCAATTATTTATGATGACAAAGTAAAGATAATAATGCATTGAATGTAGTATAGTCACAACAATATATTATTTAAAGCTTAATGAACGAAATTAACATGAATTAGTTCTTAATATGTATTTCCATGTGTCTTTTCAATCTAAACCCATTTTCCGTTACCTACCAGACTATTGGCTAACCAATCGTTATCGGCGTAAAATATCGCAACTGGCACGGTGATGCTCGTTAAATTGTAGTTCGGCGGTTCCGTTGCATTGTAAATCAGCAAATTTTGTTCGCGTCCATAGTCGTATTGACAAAATTTGCCCGATTCGATTTCCTGGCTGAAGTGCACCAGCGTTTTGGTCGAGGCGCCGGCTGGGTCGTGATTCAGAATTACTGGTAGCAGAGTCTAGGAAACAGTATGATATTTGAAGCGTCATCGCGTGTGCTAAACGTGACTTTCGAAGCGCTGATCAGAGTTGCACTTCGATTACGGTTTTCGTGAAATGCTTACGTAGTTGAACTGTTCTTTGTCGAATCCACAGATTAGGAATATCAAGTTGGCACAGATCGCTTTCTCAATATCAAATATCTCACAGCCATACTTAGACAGAAACTGTAGCACACTGTTCTGCGGCAGAAACTCGTCTTCGCCGAAGAACTCTGCGATTTTCTGTAATCCCCAAATTCCTTAATTGGAATATAATTTACTTATAATTGTTTTGATTGTTCTAATTTTAGCAAGTGTTTGAGAATAAAACGATTCATTTCAAGTACTCTTTAATGAACTAAATTTATACAAGCGATCTTTGATCTTAAATCTTAATTCTTAAAAACTGTCTCGTTAAAATTATAATCAAAGCTTTGGATAATATAACTCTACAATGAGTGCGTTTTACGTAACGTTTGCTCGCGATTATTTCGTCCTTGTTGTTTAGTAAATGTAAAAGCGCCACCAGACGATATGACCAACGTATGCCAATATTAGCAAATATCATACATATATGTACATAATTATCCATATTAAATGTAGATAATATTTAGCGAATGTGTATACGCAAAATTGGCGTATACATTAGCCATATCATCTGGAAGCGCCTTTAAATAAGGATGAAATGATGCACGCGAATATTGCGAACGTTAAAATAGAATGCGCCCAATGACATTAAACATAGATATCTAACAATAAATGAGAGCAGTAAAAAAATAATGTTCCCATTTTTAGAGTTAATTTTTGGCTAAAATAAAATTTCTTATGAAATCTTCTTTCATACTTGTTTATATTTACACAGAAAATTAATTTTTCTTCTGGTCATAAGATGTATAAAATTCCTTCTTGCATGAATAAAATATATAGAATAATTAACTGGTCGTATATTATTTTTTAAGGATAATGAAGCTCGTTTATCACAATTTCCTGATATTTAACATCATGTATCTTTGAAACATTAAATTTTTTAAATAAATTGCACTCGGATTAGTTAAAAAAATATAGTTTTGTTATATTTTCTCCTAAAAGTTTTATTCATTTATAACTCAAGGATTATTGATGTCTTGACATTTTTTTGCTAAAAAAAGACACATGAAAGACAAGATTGTCTTTGAAAAATAATAGTAAAGCAAGTATTAATGCATCCTCTGTAGCGTAAAATTATAAAACAAGATGAATTAATGCTAGATGTAATTTCTTAACTACTAGATGTGGTTTTGAATCGTTATATAGAGTGTCTCGTAAGTTTTTGTCAATCGCTTTTGTGTAGATAGAGCGGACTAAACTGAGTCAAAAAGTCCTCTACCATTGCAATTTTCGCAATGGTTAATAAGGTATTAATTACTAAAAATCGCTGAATATATTGGTTTTCGAAATTTTTTTACTCAGATACTCAACTTTATAGAAAAACAGCGAGAGCAACAAAAATTGTTTATTTTCTTCTCATAGAACTCTAAGAATTTTTTCAGAATTTTTTATCAACTTTTTAGTACTGCATTTTCTTATTTTTATCAATATGAGAAAATACGGTATTAAAAAATTTTGAAAAAATTCTCAGAACTTTATGAGAAGAAAATAAACAATTTTTGTTGCTCTCGCTGTTTTTCTATAAAGTTGAGTATCTGAGTAAAAAAATTTCGAAAACCAATATATTCAGCGATTTTTAGTAATTAATACCTTATTAACCATTGCGAAAATTGCAAAATGGTAGAGAACTTTTCGACTCAGTTTAGTTCGCTCTATCTACACGCGGAGATAATTTTTTCTTAGAATTTATCCTAAAAATATGACAGTTGTGGGACAACATTGTATTTCGAAGAATTTTAATATAAATATATCTCATTTATTAATAAAACTACAATAAGGTATAAGATAAGTTTGATCAATTTTACTGAAGTGCATGGTAAAAACCTTTAAAATATTGTATTGTACCACAACTATCATATTTTCAGGGTAAATTTTAAAAGAAAATTCTCTCCGTGCACAAAAGCGATTGGCAAAAACTTACGGGACACCCTGTATATTAATAATTAACTTACTTTCTAGCAGTATATTTAGACATATTACCTTAAAGTTGTATGCGAAACGAGAAAAATATCGTATTGGACTTTTCATATGGTTCACAAAAACTGCAGGCGCGAGACTAATCATCATTTGCACCATTGGAGCAATTTCTGGACGTTCCGCTGCCATTACATAAAAAGCAGTTGTACCCATCGAATGACCAATGTATGTGTGCAATGGATGTGACGTCGTATTCGTGATATACGAAATCATCGTAGGTAAATCATAGATGCCCATTTCATGAAAGCTAACAACAATTTTGATCGAGATAGATACATCATAAAATATAACAAAGTATTTATGTATATTATAGTATAAAATAATAAATAGTATAAAAATTAACTAATTTTCATTTTTTTTACTATAAGTTAATGATAAAAGTGTTGTCGAGCAGTTCTCTAAAAGAAACCGAGTATATTTACAAAAAATTGAATATTTTTAAAAATATATTACATGCACTAAAATACATTTACTTAGGAAGTATAGCAACCAATTACATTATTATTTATTATAACTGATCGAGACATGCTTCTTACGAGATTTTCGGTCAGATTATTGGATAAGACCCTCCCTCCAAATTTTCCAAAATTGCAAGATAATTGCTTCAAACAAATATTTGTTTTTCTTGAAGCTTTATCTTCATGATATTGATCAAATATTTTCAATCGGATTTACGTTCGGAGATTGAGAAAGCTGATAATCCATCATTAAGTCACATTTGTGAAAACCTCGTAGAAACATATCTCATGGAAAGCATGGAGACAAGCTATATAATCAATAATAATCATGGATCTCTATACTAGATAATGCATGTATACTTTTAAAATATTTTTATTTTTAAATATCACTTTTAATATATTCGGTTATTTCTTTGAGAGAACTGCTGAACGCTGATGCTCTTATATGTTATTGACTATAAATCATTATTAAGACTATATCATTTTTAACGCACTGTTATTTTTTTATTTTGTAGCGTGAGTACCTGAAATTCCAAAATCTTGAATCCGATGGAGATAAAGAAACATGCGCTCTTGAATAAGTATTCCCACGAATATTGCCCAACCAAACGTCATAGCCCTGATCAGCCAATATGAAAGCTAACATAATAAAAAAAAACATTGATTACAGTAGCTACTTATATGACAATATTATAGCTTTATAATGTTACATACATAGTCTAGCCATACATGTCATCTGATAATTTCTTATATATTAATCCGATTTTATGTATAAAGTGAAATTTTATTTAAAATCCAGAAGAACAATATTGATATTAATAATCAAAATTATTTGCATAAAAAATATAATATTAAGAAAATAAAAATAAAACTTAAAAACCGAAATGCATTATAATTTGCATTAGACATATTAAATTTTTTTTGGTACATTGAAATTTGAGAGTTTATCTCGGTATTTTTCTGAAGTATAATCGATGATTTCTTTAAATTGATTAGGTAGAGGTAATACCAAGTCCTTTATCCTTGCCGGCAATGACCCAATCAGCAGAGCTGCACAACAAACCATGCTGCAACAACACGGGCTGATGCTTGTCACCTGGGATACGATGAAGGGTTAAAAGGTAACCGTCCTGCGTCTGTATAACATGAGCCTCCGCGGGATAACCAGCTTTTCTTATCAATTGCACCTGGAAGAAATGAAAACAGTTTGTTTATCATTAGTGGTACAAATCGCAATCTCAAAATCTGTCAAAAATTCAAATTTATTATGATAAGATACATATGTAAGTTGTTTCAAAATTCACAAATCAAAATACTACAGTAAGAAAGTTTTCAAAAAATTAAAACTGCCTGGTCACAAGTGATCTTAAGATTCCATTCGGCTAATGAATTAATCATAAGTGTCTCAAGATCATAATTGAGATAATTTTAAATATAAGATAACGTATTATAAAATCTAAAATTAGAATATAGAAAAAAAATATTTACTTACTGTATTAAGGTTGGCATCGGGATTGAATTTGGCGCTGTTCAGCTGTTCCTTGCTATCCCGCATCATATTCATAAGCGCGCTCAGCGAGGTATCTTGCGGAATGTCAAATGTCACTGCAGCGACAAGGTCGCAAAATAACAAGAGGAATGCTATCACGATTGACCGCATCGTGTCTGCGTACGATAGAGCCGGCGATGAAAGGATTTGAATTGGATCGTGGATCCCCCGAAGCGTTAAGATGTAATAATAGAAAATCAAAATGAGAAGTATGACTGTGCTCTCTACGTACAACTGAGCTCTTTCTGTTTCTGTCACGGTCTTTGTACGTCTAAGGAACACTGATGAATATGTACATCAATCAGAAAAGAGACAGAGAAAGAGAAAAAGGAGGGGAGGCACGATGATAGAACAAATAAAACTAGTATTAGTCATTATAGTCTGATAAATATGAAAATTGTCCGAGTAATTGAAAAATTGTTAAGGATCACGTGTAGTTGTTCCCGCTAGGGGAGCTACTTGTCTTGTCACAATTTATTCTTCCCATTTCTATTCTACATATAGTTGGAAGGTGATATTCGTTTTGACTGGGAAATTTTTTCGTTTCTCTCGAAACACTCTTCCCTAATAAGGCGTGTCATGTTTTTTAGTAGTTCGATTAATTTTTTGTTTAAAATTGTTTTAAGTCTGATCTCTCATATGGTGACATTTATATAGTCCGATTTTATATTCAAGATTGTCTTAAGTTTGGTCCTGCACAGAGAGAAAAATGTTTGGTATTTGTAACTATAATTATATATTACTATAATTATGATTATTACTGCTATAATAATAATAACAGTAACTATATATATATAGTTCCAGCAACAAATGTATATAATTGGCAACCTAAAATGACTATAATTATAGTTGTTATAACCATAAAATAGTTGAAATTATTTTTTATGATTGTCCCAAAATATAACTATAAAATTATAGTCACTTGAATCATTTTTATGGTAATTTCAACTATTTTATAGTAATTGTTGTATAGCAATAATCATAATTATAGTAATATATAATTATAGTTACAAATACCAAATATTTTTCTCTCTGTGTGGATACACAATTTTATGATACTTAATTTTAGTCAATAAAATGAGCACTCGTGTTTCTGGACTGTATCATAATTATCATTTGTGTTTCTTGTTGGAAAACACTTTAATATCACTTTCAAGATAGATAGATTATTAAATAATTGTATTATAATTAATACTCTGTTACATGCAGTACGTTTCTTAGAAGGAGAAGGAATACAAATAAAAGTTTTAATTAAAAAGAATGTAAAATTGGAGTTCGCACTAAAGTTGATTATAAGTTAACTGTAAAAATTGAAATAGAATATTGTAATAAAGAAATGTATTATAAAATGTATTTAAAAGTTAAGTTTTATTTTTTTTTTTTTTAATAAAATGTTTAATTTATAGATATTCAAAGTTACGAATATTAAATTAAAAATGAATTTACATTTTTTTGCGTATTTTATTTCATTCTTGATTTCTTGTTTTACTTCGACAGATTTTTAATTTTCGGACTTAGATTTATTTATTTACCAGTGTCATTTATAACATCTAATCAAAATAACGTAAAGATTATTTTTATCGTTATTCTCTTTCTTTTGATATTAATAGCGACTGATTAACTTTTATTAGAAAAGATTGATATATTCAATTATATATTTAAAAAACGATTATATTTACCTGTACAAATCATTCAAGTATGACCTTATAAACTTTTGCTTAATACTGATAAAAAAAATATAACGGTCTTGAAACAATTTTTCATCGTTCTTCGTTAATGAGATTTATGCCCGTATTCATAGTCAGGCCTTATATTTAAGGCTTCCTTAAATTTATCTTCAGCTACTCTACGAATTATTTCATTGGCTACTGAGTATCTAAAGATAAATTTAAGGAAGTCTCAAGTACAAGGTCAAACTATGAATACGGGCATTACTTGAATTTATAATCAATTTAATATCGCGCGCAAAATCTTACGTTACTTCCATTTTATTTTGAATCTTTTTATCTTGTGGCTCTCCATCTGTAAGATGTATCGCACGTGTTTATTTGTGCCTCATCGGTTTTAAAAGATCAACTAAGATCAACGTTTTTCGGCCTTTGTTATAACTCGATATAAACATACACGTAAGAAAAAAGTGTTTTGTCACACGGAAATAAATACCGATAGCTCTTAACGAGTAAGTAATCGTCATAAGTACGTGTGTCGGGATCCTTGTTTGCCGTGCATGTTCCCGCCTAACGGTTGATAAAAGAATTATTTAGATAGTGCAGCTGAGTCACCGACTAACGACTGTAAATTCGAGCAAGGTATTTTAAAATTTATCTAAGTTTATCTGAATTTATCGTCTTCGATTTCATCGCGTGGATAAATCCACAATTGAAAGTGCCGGACACCGGTTAACCTCCAATCGACCAGTTGCGCAAAAAAGTGAAAAGGAATTAACGATTCGATATGGAATCCTAAAACGGTTTTAGAAGTCAAAATTCATACCTTTTTTATGTTTTATTATTTATATATTTTACCTGTACATTTTATTTATATATTTATATATTAAAATTTTTTTATTATTACCACGAAAAAGGACAAGAATTTGGCCAGTATCCAATAAGTAAAACGTTAACAGACTGTTAGTAGTTTATTAGCATTCCAATAGAATATTGCAAATTAGTATCAATTGTACATGCATTAAAATTATGTTTTATCAGCAGAGCCTACTGTAGCCTGCTGACATATAATTTGACAATGAAAGGAAATTGAACAGTAAAAATCCAGTAGAAATCAAGTATCTGTCATTTTATAATCATTTAAACGAAATATATCGTTTAGGAATTTACGAAAAAGCAAATTCTGCTTGATTTCTATAGTCATTCTACCGTTATATTCTTTTAGCAGATTCTATTACATTTCTGTTTTGGCATTCTGTCTGTTTACCAGATTTAACAGATATTTTTTACAGAATATGTTTCCAATAAACAGTTTAAGATAATTTCACAAGAGTTGTTTCTTTTGTTAATAGAGAATACAACGTCAGGATGAATGAAGCTACATTGCCTCCTTCGCCAAATTGGTATTTGAGCAATATCCTTGCTTGCTCCAGACGTGGAACTGTGGCATGGGGCGCAAGAAACTTTGTTGTCATTGCCAGACCGAAAGAAGACAATGTTATGCAGTATTCTATAATCAAGGATTATTTTAAAGACAAAGTAACTGCATTAGCATTTTGTCCTAAGCTTGATGATCCAGACAGTCCAGAGCTGTTAATCTGTGGCGGTGATGATACCAAAGCTAGGGTTTGGAATGTGGATACGTTGGAGTTGATAGCGGAATTCGCTTTTGTCGATGTAAGTGGCAGAAAATAATTAAATATATACCATTATAACTTATAAATGTTAATTATTTATGTAACTTATATTAATATATATTTATTAATATAGGGAAGCAAACTGATTGTGGGAGTTGACTGGTCAGCCAAAGATGATAATCTTGCATGTGCAGTGAATTTGGAGGGTTGTTTAATGTACTGTAATATACAGTATAAGACTTCGAAAATAGTATCTCTAGGCAAGCTGACCGCTACATGTGTAGCTTGTTGTCCTCATGACTCTAGTCTTGTAGCGATAGGTACTAAAAGCGGACTAGTTTATATTGTTCAAAAAGATACAATATTGTATAGAATGAGAGGACACAACGAGGACATAGTTAGTTTATCTTGGTGTCCTTCAGACATGAATGTTTTAAATGGAAGAAATAGGAGAGATTTACTTTTAGCTTCTGGTGCAAAAGATAGGTGAGACAAAGCTTTTATAAGCTGTATATATTCTCTGTGTCTCACATACTGAATTAGTCATATAAAATATATATGAATATTTATATTGTTACACTTAAAAATGTAAGAAACGGATAACTAATTAAAAACTGACTACTATTATATTTATCTTTTTTTATATTCAGATCTGTATTCATTTGGAGAGCCGGTAGAGATGGTAGATATGAGACTGTACTAAATGTACCAAATACGCCTATCATGGCTGTTTCGCATAAAAGCAAGCTCAGCACTGCAGGTGGAACCTGGATTGCGGTATGTTGGGCAGAGCCCAATTTGCTTCTGACTAGCTCCCTTTGGGGCGAACTTCTTTCTTGGAAACTTTCAATGGACGAAGAGAAGCCTAAGTGTAAATTGTTCCATACATTCCATAGTAGAGGATTATTTTCGATAGCTGTTGCACCCAAATATGATACAATATCTGATGATTTAAAAACAAATTCCGAGTGAGTAAACACTTTACATAAATTACAAATATATGAATATTGAAATTTTTCAATATTTTATCAATACTTTAGGCTCAGGGTCTGGTCTTTAGCACAAGATCGCTGGGTTATATGTTGCAAATCTAACAGCGATCCTACGAAATCGGCGATCCTGGAGCACAAGATTCCTACACAAGGAGGATTCGTCTACTGTATGAACGCTTGTCCTATTGATACCTCACGCATTGCATTTGGCGTAGGAGATGCGATGCTGCGTCTATGGAACTTATCTGAACCACACACAACGACTTTCGACATTGTTATGCACTGGCAGAAGATAAAGGGAAAAATAAGAGTGGTAAGAAATTCTCACACGGAAGCTGTTTTTTGAGATATTTTTACGTGTGAGAAAATGTTATGAATTAGTATCATAAAATATATTCCACTAGGTATCGTGGTTCCCGGAAGACGAATCTACCGTTGCTTTTGGTACTGGAGAGGGTCGTGTTGGCATGTTTGATGCAATTGGAACCAACAAACAACCTATATTATATCGGCAATATCACCGAAATACCATTTACAAACTCGAATGGGCTCAACTTAAATCAGAATATTTTTTGTTCTCTTGTGCAGAAGGAGAATTAGTAGCTTACAAAAAATCCGCACCGAGTGATGGTAAGATGTTAATATTTATGTTTTGTCGTATTGTTTTATTACCATACTTCTATTTTAGAACCTATGTCTATAATAAAGGAAGGATGTTTGGAATTTTCATGGAAATCCAATATATGTTTAGCAGTTGCATTAGAAAATGGGTATATATACACATATATATATATATATAAAATTAACACAATTTTCTTTAAAAAATAATTAAAGAAACGCTTTAAACGGATCTTGTTTTTTCAGGTCAATTACGTTCTACGATCAGAAGCTGAGAAAACGCGGCAATTCAATACACATTTTAAGAAATGTGGTGAATTGTTTGGCATGGCATCCCGAAAGTACAATGGCAGATAAATGGATGTCACCGATTGCCAACTATTTGGCAGTTGCATCTGATTCGTGTAGTATAATGATTTTTGATATGTCCAAGCTGATAAAGGAATTGGAAGCGACAGGTACCGAGGACATCATAGAAAACGATCAGGATTGCACGATGCACAAGATAGTAGCAACATTAAACGGACACTCCGATAAAGTGGTGTGCTTAGCTTGGAGTCCGCATTTCAGTGGGCATTTAGTGTCTGGTAGCTACGATAATATCGCACAGGTCAAATATACATATGCATTTTATAATACTGTTCAAGTAGTTAAATTATATGATGAAATCATAGTTTATCTGTGTCTATTAAGTTTGTAGAATGAAATATGGGTTTTCTCCTTCCCAAAACAGGTTACCGTTCACCTTATAACTCTTTTACTCATAACTTTTAACTCTCCAGTCAACCTCTTACAAAACTAAGGCATACATGAGATGAGTATTAGAGATTCATTGACTACAAGTCGATTGCTCTTATACCTTTCTTATACAGAGATATATGTCACTTCTGTTAAATTTGTATTTGTCATTTTTATATATCATACAACATTGTTTTTTAGTTATATCGTGTTGTAAATGCTAAATCTTGTTTAAATATTATTTTCAGTATGATTTATATCGTTATATAATCTTCTTCAAATATAATTTTAGGTGTGGAACGTCGAAAAACAGGAGTTGATGGGCACATACATGGGTCATGATGGACCTGTGCTATGCTGTATGTGGAGTCCTCTCAAACCACAGTTAATAATGACCGGCTCGTCGGACTTTACGCTACACATATGGAATTATACTTTATCAGCGCAATCACCGAAGCAACCTTCTGACATTAAAGCTTCAAAGAAAAAACAAAAACAACAGAAGAAGTCGAAAAATAAAACGGATGATCATGAAAATAATTCGACCACATCAACGAATCTTGTTAATCTATCATCTACTGAAGTAACCGCAAGTAAATAATTTTTTGTATACAATTGATACACATGATATACAATTGATATTGATATTCTCAATTTTTAATTGCAGAATTTCAAGCATCACAATCGAAAAAGAAAGATAGAAAATCATACTTTAATAAATATAACAAATTAATAAATGACAAATCTCAAATTTTGAATTTCATCAAGCATGATATAAAAAGTAACCAAACCGAAGAAGATGACACTTCTACAAACTTGTCATTGTTTTGCGAAAAAAAAGATGATTTTTTGGCTCTTATTTCTAATGAAAGTAAGTTTAAGTATATTATTTTAACATTATATTACAATTACATATAAATTGTTACGTGACATTAATGATTTATTATTTATCTACAGAGTTAACACATGACAATTCAGATATTGTTACTGAGTTGAATATGTGGTGTGATGATTTGGAAAGCAATCTAATTTGTGCAGCCAGGGATCAACAATTAAATGACTTTTTAATATCGCTTGCACCTAATGTTTCCTTGAAGTACGTATGAATATTTCAACAAATATAAGACAATTTGTGGCTATTGAATATAATCGAGATTGATTTTACAGAATGTGGAGAGAAATGTGCGAAGCGTATGCGCATCAATTGATACTGCAACACAATCCAGAAAAAGCGGTGTCATATTTACTAGCTATACATAAAATTCACGCAGCCATAGAAGTATTTATAAATGCTAAGATGTTTAAGGAGGCTTATGCACTCGCGAGATGTAAATTGGATGATGACGATATGTTTCTAAATAAAATATTAGAATCCTGGGCTGAATGGGCCACTTTTAAAGGTCATCTGGAGCAGGCAGCTCATTGGTAAGACAATTTTTTTTTAAATTAATATTTTTTATTAATCCTAAGCATTGCAAGTGCGACATGAATGAAAAATATATTTTCCACATTTACACGATATAAAAAAATATTATTTTACATAATATTTAAACGTAAACATAAATAATTAATAGCTGTAAAAAATTTCTATTAAATTAACTCTTTTGATGTTACATATATCAGTCACGTAAAATTAGGATCCTTTGACAAGGCAGCAAAGGTTCTTTCTCGTCGAAAAGACTTATATTGTTTGGAGATAGCATCAGAATTAGCGTTTTTAAGCGGTGATGAGGGATTTGGTACGTCCTTGGTTGTAGACGCAATGACGCGCGCCCTTATGAAGTCAGACTGGCCGAAAGCACGTTCCCTTATCACTGACATCCGACAAGTTCAGGTATATTTTTACACAACATGCATGTACACAACATATATATATATATATTTTATATTCATATATAACTAAAAATCTTCTGTGTAGTATCTAAACGTACACATAGATGCTCATGAGACAATCATGAGTACATTCTTAGAACAGACTGAGTTCGATATGATGAAGATGTGGTTGGAAGGAAAGGAAAATAATGGTATGCTACAAACTCTTGAGGAAAAATATGGTACTTGTTACTACGGTCTCTTACGAAAGAAGAATGATACCAATATTGTTCTGAGAAATGTAACAAACGATAAAGTGGTAAGCTATAGAAGATAAAAATAAAAATGATCAGTACACTTTTCGTAGATAATTATAATATTTAACAATGCTCAATACTTTTCGCGTATAATAACAAATTTGTATTACATTTCTTCATATTATCTTTTTTAGATGCAAATAAATATTAGTTATCAAATTGCCATGGCAGCCATGTCCGATGTAAAAGAGATCCGATTGAAACATTTAACAACGGCATTAGGTAACGTGTTTGAATTTGAAAATAGAGCATCGAAATACGGAACAGTGATAAAAGAAGGATTCTTCACGCATGTTCTCACGAAACTGGATACTAAAAAACGAACGGACGAGGACAGCATTTATGCAAAAAGCGATTATCCTGTATCGCAGAGCATACGCGCTTATTTATGTATCGGTATTCTGAATTGGTTATTGAAATATTTAGAAAAGCTATCGGTTGAAGAAGAGCTGCAGTTTACGCAGTTGGTATTAGATTTGCTAGAAGATGCCATAAACGAGACAAACGTATCTCATCAGAATAAGATTTCTAAATATAATCAATTGGAGGACCAACTTATGGCTCTTGCCATAAGTCGTGAGGGTTAGTTCTTTCTTCTAATCTGTTGTTAGATTTGTTTAATATATGATTGTGTACATAGCAGTGATAGATTAATAATATTAATTTAATAATTCATTATTTTATACACATATATACATATAATATGTTTTAAATATATATGTTCCAGTGGAGACAAAAGATAAGATCGAAAATGATGATGAATATAGGAATATTGAGGAAGAAGCAGAGAAGCTCAAACTCAATATAAATAAATTCAATGAAGATCGAGTTTACATACCGGATCCTAACATCGTTCTTCAGAAATCTTGTTTTTTACTTGCTAAGAAATTGAGAGATAGTACCAAAAAACAACTTTCACAATTTTTAGATAAATTTGAAGAGATAAAAACGTTTGAATCAGAAGAAAATTTGCAATCGGAAAATATCTCAGTATGAGTATATCTCATTAAATAAATGAAAAAGTTTCAAATAAAATGTAAATAAAACTAGCAGAATAGATCTTTGTATCGTTATAAATGATAAACTACATATGATAAATTACTTTTATATATATTGTTCATATAAATCTCGTAATTATACAGTACTCATACATTATACAGTTCATTATAAAATACATTTTTTCTTTTTTACGCATTTTTACACAAGTGTAAAATTTTTTTATCTCCAAAAGATTTATGTGTATATATATAAATTAATTTATCGCATATATGTAATAAGAGAATACGCTTTCAAGGAAAATCAAAATTTTACCTCAATGTATTACTAATGTGTTGTGTATAAAAATTAATTCTTGATGAACTTATAAAGAAACATTAAAGCATAATAAAAAAAATTATGTAAACCGCTAAGTAACATCCCAAGTTCTGAAAAGTCAGAGATTTCATTTATGGACAAAATCGTATTCAATGTATATTAATTTACATTTATTCTCCAGAAGCATAGTTCTCTGTCACTTCCAGCACAGACATATGGCAATTTATAGTGCCATGTCATACCACCGATTAACTTTACTTTTCCACACAATACCACTACTTTCGATTTTAAATTAACAACCTTCAATAAATTATCCGGCCACCCGATACTTGATACCAGATTTTCATTCGCATGTGAGATTTTTACCGTTAAACCACCTTCCACATGAAGTGTCCGCTCATCAAGAGGACGACTAGAATTGGAAATGAATACATTAATTTGCTGAAAGCCTGAACCAATAGGCTGTTTTTTTAAATTGAACTTCTTGCACAATCTAACTTTTCCTTTTTTCATGTTGGAGAAAAAAGAAAAGTGAACTGTGCAAGAAATTCAACTAAAAAGAACAAACCCAATGTGATACAAAAGGATTTAAAATTAAATGTTTTATTACCTGGGTCTGGACACATCCCAAAGCAGCAATTCTCCAGCGGCTATCGATGCGACTTTTAAGGGATTGGGTCCCCAGTCAGCTGCAGTCAAGGGCACAACCCCTGAATCAAGGGACATAATAGCTTGATGACTTCTGACATTATACATACGTATCAAACCGTTCTTTTCCGCTACTAAGAGCTTGCCAGACTCTTCATTATGCCAACATACGCTAGTCCCGGGTGACGTTAAGTAAAATGTAGACACACACTTTTGGTTCTCTTTAACTGCCCACAGCTTACATGTATGATCGTCAGAGACTGACGCCAATAGTTCACCCTCTGGTTCATAGGAGATCGCGTTCGTATAATCTTTGTGACCTTCTAAAATCTTTAGAACATCTATTACACCATTGGATTTAATAGCGCTATAAACTTACATAACTCTTAAAGTATTCCTACCTCAAACATATTGACGTCATTCAGATTGCTATTGTACAATCTTATTTTGAAATCTGATCCAGCAACGCAAAATGTGACAATTTTGGGGACAATACTCAGGGAGGTTTCTGGGCTCCAAGCGATCGCATGGGGCCTGGCATCGTGATGAAACGTTCTAATAGGACTATATGCCATATCTTCCACGGCATCATCTTCATCCTGTCAGTTAAAGTTTGTTAAAATGAAAATGAATAGATTTGACTTTGTTAAATCTTACTGCATATCTCGCGATATAAATTGCTTTCCATTTTCACATAAATAATAGTGAATTTAAAGTTATGTGAGTATTTTATACTCGGATAATGATATCACAGTACTTGCTTACTTTGGTGACAAAGTTATCATGTAACAACACAGAATGGAAAGGACTGTATGTTAAAAACTGAGTTAAGACGTCACAAATAAAAATTATCCAAGATTCGATATAAATAGAAAACAATTATAATTTCTATTTCGTCAATATGTTGACGATTTCTAGCAAAACTAAAAAAAGCTATGACAATTCTCATCGAGGGATTCCTCATACGAACCTGAAATCTGACAGTACCAACGATGATCTCCTTGGCGAGGGCGATGCAGATCAAGTGTTGCGACCATTCGTACGGCGAAAACTCGACACAGTAAATCCGCTCTGAGAAACTCCGTTTAAATGTAGGCGGCGTGGTGACTGCCTCGTCCATTCTATCTGATTCTATCTCTCTCGTCCTCGATACTTAGATATGTACACGCGTGGAAACGAAGCCGGCATAACCTACAAGACGCAAGATAGGTTAGTTTTGCGAGGCTTTACCGTGCGTGACCGATCGATTGTTAATGTAAGGGATAAAGGAGGAGGATTACAAACACGCGACATAAATACAACGGGGAAACCAGCGGAGAAGAATAGATCGAACCACAACTTGTTTTCTCACCGCGATCCGGAGGGAAAAAAAATGTGTGAACATACACACGCCCGGTGTCGAATTAGGTTAGGTTAAATCGGCGCGGCGGCGGCAAACGGTGCCATCGAGAGGGCAGCACGTGATTCGTGTGTGCGATCGTCCGGCCAGCGTGCCACTGCTGCATTCTCCGGAAAAGTGCTGTGTGACGAGCATAGCACACGATCGTCGCATCGCGCGCGTTGATTTTGCGATTTTTTTTGTCCCCTCCCGAAGACGGAGCCAGGTATGAATTGACGCGCGGCGCGACGCCGGAGAGAATCCCGCGCCGTCCACGCGGCCCCGCCAAACTCCGTCTCGTACCGCAGTTTCGCGTCAGTTAGGTGAGTAAGTACGCGAGCGAGCGAGCGAGCGCGTGCACGCGACAAGCTGCTTCGTCCACGCGTGTCCGCCCGTAAATTTTCCCCGATTGGAGGACACTACCTCGCCGACGACGAGCGCAACGCCGTCGCCGCCGATTTCCTCGCGTACGCCCTCGCGGATGTAGCGTGAGCGAACCTCGTTTCGATTATTTATACCGGCTCCCAGATTGATGTTCCGTTACAATATCTTGCATCAGCTTCGCAAAATTGCGCGAAACATTGATATGTATTAATAATTCAAAGCCAATCACCGAATAATTCAGTCTGTTTTCATCAAAAAAGAGCTTGGGAAAATCATTAAAATAAATTTGTTTGATTGCGTTATGTAAATGTATTTATTATGATGATATTAGATGTTTTTCAATTGCTAATTATTGCCGAGAAAAATTTTTATGCAAGAACATCTTTTTCGTGACAAGCGATACACATATGTTATTAATTGTCGTAGAGATAGGACAAGAAATTTTCATCCTCTGTTTATTTTCTCTGTACTTCTCTTTATTTGATAAGAAAGAAAGATAAAGTGGTTATTAAGATATTATGTAACAAGTATTGCTTATTGTAGTTTACATATGTTGAACATACCTGTCTCATATTTCAGTGCAAGTAGGAATGGAGTTCGGAGCAGGCGATGTCGCCCAGATATCGGCAGAACTGGCTCGAGTGGTCGAGATGATGATGTCACCTGGTATATCTCAACCTCAACGTCTGGATATGTATAATGCTTGTGAGAGGTTCAAAGAATCTTCACCGTTGTGTGCGCAATGCGGCTTGTACTTGGCGCAGAAATTACCTGAGAGAAGCTCAGTGGTACGTCACTTTGGTCTACAGTTGATGGAGCACTGTGTAAAGTATCGATGGACACAAATTTCTCAGTCAGAAAAGATTTTCATCAAGGAGAATGCGATGAAATTACTTCAGGAAGGCACCCAACCACTGCTACAAGAAGAGGCACATATAAAGGATGCTCTGTCACGTGTCGTAGTTGAAATGATAAAGCGTGAATGGCCTCAGCAGTGGCCCACACTGTTGGCCGAGCTCAGTCAGGCTTGCACACAAGGCGAGAGCCAAACTGAGTTAGTCCTGTTGGTATTTCTCAGATTAGTGGAAGATGTAGCACTTTTGCAGACACTCGAATCCAATCAAAGAAGGAAAGATATTTATCAGGCGTTGACTACGAACATGGCCGAGATCTTTAGCTTCTTCCTGAGACTAATGGAGCAACACTTTTCAGAGTTTCAGAAGAAAAGTGCCTTAGGACAGACATCCGAAGCTGCGGCACATAGTAAAGTCGTTCAAGTAAGTTTTTGCAAAAATGCATGTATCTAATGATTGGTATTTCAATTAAAATTTGTATTGTTATAACAGGTAGTGCTATCCACATTAACTGGATTTGTTGAATGGGTTTCTATAAATCATGTGATGGCCGAGGACGGAAGACTGTTACAGATACTATGCCTCCTACTGGGAGATCCTATATTTCAGTGTTCTGCCGCCGAATGTCTGCTTCAGATTGTAAATCGTAAAGGCAAGGCTGAAGATCGAAAGCAACTGATGATCTTGTTCTCAGAGGAGGCTTTGAGATATATTTATACTGCAACCACTGCTCCACCACCTCTGGCTGGACCTACAAATTTCCATGAAAATCATTACTTATTTTTGAAGAAGCTCACCCAGGTACTTGTTATAATCACACTGTTAACATTCGATAAATTTGTATCGCATCTTATAGTTACAGCAGCTATGAAAAACCGATCATCATTCGTGTGATTGTTATTTTAGGTACTGACTGGTATGGCGACACAACTTTGCGCCTTATGGGGAAAAGATGATGCCTCTAGCATACGACCGACGCATTTCAATCTCTTTCTGGACACTGTGCTTACGTTCACCATGTACCCGAGCCTCACGCTCACGCATTTAGCGAACGCGATTTGGGTGATGCTGTTTAAACACGAACAGATCAAGACAGACTCGTTACTGCTTACGTACGTGCCCAAGTATGTGGAGCACACCGCACCCAAGTTGATCCGCGTTACATATCCACATGGTAGACAAAGTAACGGCATGACCACGTACTGCCTCGTTGATTATGACTCAGAGGAAGAGTTCAACGTTTTTCTGCATCGCTTCAGAATGGATCTGTTGGAAGGATTTAGACATGTAACTATGGTAGCTCCTTTAGTGACGTTTACATACGTGCAACAGTGGCTGACTGCGAAGATCACCAAGGGTATGGCAAACCTGCAATACAAGAGCGATCAGAACGACCGAGAGTACCTTGAATGGGAAGCCCTCGCGCATGCATTAGA